GACAGTGGCCTTTTATTGAAATGTACTCAAATTACAAAATGCATATTGTAAGGCAACCTAAAAATATATTAATTTCTACTCATGAAATCATTAGTGAAGTGGATATAAAGTTATTTCATAACTTTAAGAACTGGTTTTTAATACTTCATTGTAGTCTGAATTATCTAAAACATTTAGATCAACTATTATCTTCCAGAGATTTCTGCTTCTCAAACCCATGCCCTGTGATATATGCATGTTAGTAATGACCACAACACTGTAAACAGCATTTTGTGACCTCTCTTTGGGAAGGTAGGCAACAAACTTACATGCTTTACCTTCTACTGACTCCCAGAAAAGCATGAGAATTCTTTAGCACCACGTGTGGTAGCAGCATCCAAGATGGCCCCTAACAGTGCCTGCTTCCCATCCTCATATTGTCCTCCCACAGTGTACCAGATTTTTTTTTATGTGAACACAGCAGAAGTGATGGTATGTGACTTCCAAGATGGAGCTGTAAAAGACCAGAACTTCCATATTGGGCTATCTGTTGGAACACCACTCTGGGGTAAGCCACATCACAAGCAGCCCTGTGGAGAGGCCCAGATGATGAGGAACTGAAGCCTCTTACAAACAACTATGAGTGAGCTTGGAAGTGGATCTTCCAGCTCCCCTCAAATCTTCAGAGACTGCAGCCCCAGCTGACAGCTGAGAGTCCCTGAGCCAAAAGCCCCCCACTAAATCACTCCCAGATTCTTGACCTTCAGAAATTACATCAGATAACTGTTTTAAACTACGTGTTGGGGTGATTACAGGGCTATAGATAACTACTACACTACTTCCCCATAGTTTGTTTCCCCCTACCCCCACAGGCAGAATGCCGTGAAACACAGAAACTGCCCACAAAGAGGACTTCTGCTTAAATGCCAGAGGAGACAAAGGGGAATCTTCAGAGTTCCACTATCGTGCCGGTTTTGTCCAAGAACTGATGTCTTCAGAATCTTTGATAGTGCTTTTAAATTTCTTTGTATTTGAAACCTTTACCTAAATCAGGGTTCAAACACTTCTGAACACCTACTTTGGGGTTCACCAGTAAACACTCGTAACTTTCTGCATCCTCCAGAGGCAGGGGCAGGGGGAAATTTTGGGTCAAATCATAGACGGCAGCCTCTGCCATGTGGGCAATGGCCTTACCCTATTGCCCCAGCACTCCACCCTTCTCGTTTCCCTTTTCTCAGCTCTGCTTAATCCGTAGGAACCCCCAGGATTCCTAGTGGAATACTCTGAGCTGCCGCTGTTGACCGCTGACCTTCACCCCCAGCTCTAGCTAGCATTCAACAGAGGGATAGGTAACCAGTTTTACAAACTGCCATTTCCCGTTTTTAAGGATAAGAAAAGGAAGAAAGAATGATTTTGTCATTTTACCTATTTGCCTAGAATCCAGGGTTGACGGCAATTGTCCCCAGAGTTGTTTATCCTGTTTCCATGGCTGATTCCATAATCGCTCTCCGTCACCAAGGGACCCTAGGGGTTCTCTTACGGACTCCTTAAGTCTACACTGTACCTCACGACATTCATTTAAAACATTTCCCTCAGTAGAAATAGCCCCCAGACTTTTTTTGATGTACAGATTTGGGACTGCACCAAGTTCTGAGTCATGTGTGATACTAAGCAAAGCTATTTGCCCTGGATACCCAAAGCAAGTAACAAAAACATGATCCCAAGAGAGCTTTTAAAAAAAAAGCTACGAGTTAGTGAATAGTGTGAGGTGCTTTCCATTCAAAGTCTTCCTTCCCCATATAAACTATCTTGAGTTGTGGGTCCAGTGAAGAGAAAGACCAGCCAATCCACCCTCCCCTTCTAAAAAACATTTCCAGTTTACAAAAGAGGCAACACTCAACCTCAGTTCAATGCTATCTTGTATTTGTTTATCAACCAAACTGCAGGTTTAAGTCAGATTTGCACTGTTATAGAGTCAAAACCGAAGTCTTCATTGGTCTTTTTTCAGGAAGAATAACAGTTCAGTGCTTGTGACCTGCAGAAATGCGACCAGGCCCTCTCAGTTCTTAAGAAACTTGTTCGGGGGCTGGGAACTGGGGCTGGTGGCAGCGGCGGCGGTGGTAGCCGGAGGGTCGCGGGCTTTGGCCATGGCGCCGCCGCCAAAGCGGTAGTGTAGGTAGCGACTGGCCTGCACACACTGAGCCACCACGTTGGTGCCGTGGCACGCCATCAGCAGCAGGTTTCGAGGCTGTACGCGGTAGGCGAAGCGCATGAAGATCGAAGAGTAGAAGATGAGCGCAGTCGTCATGCGGCCACTGATGAGCTCCGGAGACTCCTTCATGTCCTTAAAGGCAGCCAGCGGAAGGCCCCAGTTGGCCACGGGACCCCAGAAATGAGTGCTGGTCACGTATTCCCGGAACTCCTTGCTCAGGAAGTAATCTCTGGTCTTCCCCCACAGTGCCGCCATCCTTGCCATGATAGAATAGCCGCAGGTGTACCAACGGACCAACAACCAGACCACAATGAGATAGAGCGCAAAGCCCCGTAACCGTAGCGGACCTTGACGCAGCAGACGCTCGCGACCTCGTGCCTTCGCGTAGCTGCCGTAAAGTATGCCGGACAGCACGTGCCGCTGTTCTGTGTGGTGAAAGGACGTGGCTTAACCCTGCTGCCTTGGCATTGACTGCCGTAAAGTGCGCCGGACAGCACGTGCCGCTGTTCTGTCGAGGTGAAAGGCCGTGGCGTCATCCGCCCCTTAGCCTAAAGGCCTTTAAAGTGCTGTGGACAGCACGTGCTCCTGCTTTGCAGGGATACAAGGCTGTGGCTTTGCCCTTGCACCTTCATGTAACTGCCATAAAGTGCTCCAGACTACATGCCACTGTTCTGTGGGGATAAAAGGGCATGGCTTTGCCCTCACATTTGCATAACTGAGGTAAAGTGCTCCACAAGCACGTGCAGCTGTTCTGTGAAGGTGGAGGGGCGTGGCCTCATCCTCCCTTTGCCTGACTGCCGTAAAGTGTTCCAGACAGCACGTGCTGCTGTCCTGTGAGGGGTGAAAGGGCAAGGCTTTGCCCTCAGGCAGACGTGACTGCTGTAAAGTTCTCCGCACAGCATGCTGTCGTAAGTTCCTGTGGGGGTTAGGGGAGGGGTGCAGCCTCACCCTTGCACTTTTGCATCTTCCATGGACTGCCATAAAGTGCACAGAGCTTGCGTGCACTTGTGTGTCCTCTGGCAGAAGTGGAACCACAGCCTCAGCCTTCCTTCCCCCAGGGCTGCAGCTGCTTTTAAGTGCTTAGGGTTACACGTGCCGCCTGGGGAGGAGAGGGTCAGGCTGCCTGCTTCTCAACCGTGCAAAGGGAAACTGCTTGTTCTACCTAGTCCCCCAACAGTGTTGACTAGGTGTTGAAACAAAATTCCTCAACCAGGTTCAGATTTTTAGTCCTTACACAATTTGGCTGTTACTTGCAGACACAGTGACATTTCACCTTAAACATTTTAGCACCTGTCTCTTAAAAACAAGGATGGTCTCCTACTTAACCACAATGCGGTAATCCGCTAAGATAATTAACATTTAGGATGGCACTATAAGATGCAGAGCATATTTAAATTTATGGCTTATTTTTTTCCTTGTTGGGAGGGGGAAATAAGGATTAAATCAAAATTGAAGTTTAGTTAACCGCTTTGATTAATCTCTAATCTAGAAGAGTTCCCTAGCCTTTTGTCTTTGGGACATGGACATTTTTGAACAGTCCAAACTCGTTGCTTTTCAGAATGTCTTTAAGTTGGATTTGTCTGTTTTCTCATTAGATTTAGGTTAAACATTTTTTGATAAAACGGCTTCACAGGTGATGTCGTATTCTTAGTGCATCACAATGCGAGGCACATGATGTCACTTGGTTCCAGCATTGGTGATACTAAGTTCGGCCACTTGGTTAAGAAGTTACCTGTTCCTTTCAAATAATCCACACAGAGCCACCTTGAGAGTGTATGGATATTCTATTCTCCAACAGTCTTTTTTTTTTTTTTTTTT